TCCTCTTCGCCTCACAGCTCACGCTCTACTCCGTCCCCGTACCCAGTAAATGGAGTATTTAATATCTCTGCACCTCCGAGTTTCCTAAAATTTAAGATGGGGTTGACACATCCATGGCCAAGAATTCCATGTGCTGAGGAACGTGGTCCCATGACAGACGGGCTCTCTCTGCCCAATAGGATCCACGTAAAATGGATTCCAATCTCCGAAGATGGTGGCAGTCTAAAAGTGCTCTCTGAGTTCTCAGCATTTCAGACAACCTCATTTTCCTGTTCCCCTTGGTGCTGGTTTTCTCCTAAATATTTTTATTTTCTCAAATATTTTGTCTGACTTGGCCTTTCACGGCTCTTCCTTTCTATCTTATGAACTAAGCCGGCCACTCTTCACTGTCAGCTCCTCCCTCAGAGTGACCTGAATCGGGTCTGTGTTGGTGGCGGGACATCGCTGAAGCCTCTGACAAGGACCTGTGGGTGACCAAGCCAAGAGAGAACGAAAACGACAACACACTGGTCCCGAGAGCTCCTCTTAGTAGACTAACCCTCAGTAAAATCCCCCTACCCCAACCTTTGCCTCACAGTGAGTCTTCAGACACACGCCTACTGTAGGTGCCCGGTGCCGAACCAGCAGAGATGAACAATAACCTGGCTGACTCTTTGCAGACATCTGGCTACGGAGATGGGGCAGGGAGGCTCCACCAGTGCCCTCCCCTGTGGCTGAGACGGTTCATCAGCGGAAGCCTTACAAAGCCACACTCAGCTTCTAACCCCGTGCTGTCTTGCCTGCTCCACTTGCTTCTACTGCCTTGATAACTGCTGCTTACCCTCAATCCTCTCACAGAGAATCCTGTCATCCTGTCCTGCCCTGCACGCCCAGAAGGGACAGTGCCCCAGGGCCCCCACTGCCATCACATCTCCTGTGAGCCTGTGGAAGACCAGCCTCCTCATCACTCACCCTTTGCTTCATCCCCTGTACAGCTTCGTATCTTTGTTCAATATGGCAGACAGTACAGACCCAGGTCCGCCCTCCTCCAGGGGCTCGCCTTGCTGGATAAATCCCTTATTCATCCAGTTTTATCTCTTTGTGGGGGCACAGACCTAATTCTCACCCGGGATGGGCATCCCTGTCCATCCCAGCATCAGGGGAATCACACCGTTTAGTATCAGTAGTGGTCCTCAGAGGCCAGGCTATCAGGAGTCCTCCGGCTTCTCAAACTTTCTCCGTTCTCTACGTCCACTGCCGTCTTTACTTGTCCTTCTTATGCATTTTCCGACGTGGAACATCTTAGCTATGTACTCCTGCAGCGTGGTTTCCTGCCAGCTCCAAATGTGCAGATCCCTGTTTTAGAGGCCCATTCTTGAGAAAAGAGAATATTCTCCAAAAAGAGATTTGGACGCTAAGATCACTGAGTGCCAACTGAGGTCAGATTAAGATAATAAACTAAAGAGAAATTACTGTTGTTGTCAAGGCTGCTACTGAAAGGGTTAAATTCTCCCAAGCTCCTTAAGGCACTGGAAAGTGTTGGTCAGCGCCTCGGTGTCCCCCTGGCACTGAGCTCATTCAGGGTTACAGGATGCCTTCATGGAGAGGCTCACTAATACTCCCAGGAGCTGCAAACGTTCTTTCTCCTCCTGCTCCTTCCATTTTCTTCCCAGACTAATTGATCTCTCCTTGAAACCACCAGATGCCTGACTCATTTTTCTAAGTTTTGACCTACAGCTACGGAGACTGAGACCATTCTCTTGCTGACACTGGAACATCAGAACCCTCCAATACAGGGCTGAAGAATACAACCGGACATGACAAAGACAGCCGAAGTAGCCCAGAGACTGAACGGTCAATCACCCCAATTCACCAACCATAAACCTCTTGCCTTTGAAACCCAGTGAAAGCTCCTGACCCTCATCCTTCAGGGCCAACGAGCCCTCCGCATCAGGCTCCTTTCCATTCTCGGAAAGTGAATAATTTTTTTTCTTTTCTCTCTGAATTTGTGATTTCTTTCACAGCCAGCAATCAAGGCCACTCTAGTACATCCCAGAGGCCACCCTAAAAGCTACTAGCATTAAAACACCTGGTACTGGACACAGGACAGCCAGACCTCCCGCGGGCAAGCTTCATCCCAGGCTGCCCAGTGGAGCACTTCCCAAGCCATGCAGAGAAGGCTGTTTGTGGCTCATGAAAAGCAGCGGGCTCTCTAGAGGGGTGGAGGCTGCCAGGGCGGAGGGAAGTGAGAGTCTCATAATTTCTCCTAGTAATTTCCCTGTCCTTTGTGGTTGTTCTGGTGGCGACAGCTTTTCTTTCCTGAATGGGACACGTAAACAGAAGGGAGGAACCAAACTGTGGAGTCTAGAGAGGAACGTTTTAGAGGGACTTTGGAGACGAGGGGATGAGTGTGTCGAGTCTGGGGCAGATCAGGGCCTCGGGGGAAGAGCACAGACTGTCCCAGGGATGACTCTCGGTTTTCCACAGTGTGACCAGATAGGAAGCCTCTCTCGTGCCTCTTCCAGTTCTCCTTAAATCATTCAGACCCAGATCCATTTCAAACACACGTCAGAGGACAGAGCAGTCTTAGGGAAACTGAAAGTGGGCTCAGGTCTCCCCAGTGCGTGGCCCTGGGATGACAGATTTCTCTTATCGCAGCTAAAACAATATAATGAGGTAAGAATCTGGTGAAATATTTTTGCAGGAAATTAGCCAGGCACATTGACCTCTGGCGAGCAAATTTGGTTGGATGAATAATTATGTGCCCTGAAGGCTGGTGTTCCGGGTACTGAGCGGGGTTACTTCACCGAGTCTGGAGACAGCCGTGTGAGGAAGACCACAGCATCCCCGTCTTAGGACTAGAGCTGAAGTTCAGAGAGGGTAGGAGTTGCTATGCACACCTGGGGTGGGGCGGGGACCACCCCACCGGGCAGGGGTGTGGGCGCAGAGCTGACTTTCGGGAGTGAGCACCAGGTTCCTACCTGAACACAAGTGAAGCACCCCGGCTTCAAATGGCAGAAGAGGCCTCGGCTGCTTCTGCTCAAACCTTTGGATACCATCCAGAATCCTAATTAAGGAAGCATCGAAGACAGAATTTGGGTGGGGAAAAAGAATCTGTGTTTAAGGTTTGGTTCACAAAGCAATTTCAAACTTGAGCAAACTCACAATAACCCTGTGAGCTAAGCCAGGCGGATTTCATACTTATTTTAGAGGCAAACTAAGTCTCAGGAAGGTTATGCCCGAGGTCTTTGGAGAAATTTATCTGTGGCATCTTTAAGGGAAGTAAAACAATGCCTAAGGTGACATAGCAGCCTTCGGCTTGAATTCGGGACTCTGTGTAATCTATACACGTCTTCCTCCGAAGTGGTCTCTCCTGGGTTCCTGGCGCTGACCCTCAGCCGAGTGACAGTCGCATCAGGACGGCCCTGTGAGGGTGAGCGGCTGTACACTGCACATTCCACTCCACGATGTGACCGCGCACGCCAGCCTCACAGTGTGGAGTCCTTTACAAAAGCCCTCGCTGGCGGGCAGAATCCAAGACGGCTTCGAGAATAGGAATGCAGGCCTTGCCAAAAATGTACTCTCATAGCATGAGCACATTCGTAAAAGAGCTGCACTGGCCATGGGGCAAGGAGATATTTTCAACTAGTTTTCACCAGAGGCCTACTCTATCAAAACAACAACAACAACAACAACAACAACAAAAAACCAACTCCCTGGCCAGATCATGTGCTGTGGAGAGAGAAGGAGACTGCTGAAACTCACATCAACAATACATTGCATAGTCTTCCTGACTGATCTGAACACGCACTTACTGTCAAGTAATGAACTCAACACTCCAGGAGTCCCTGTGCTTAAGAAGCACACAATCTTGTTGGAGGGGAAATACGTATACATGGTCATTTTTTTAAATTGGCTATAGGACAGGTGTGCTATCCAGAGAGTGAAAAAGAGAGAGAGAGGGAAAAAAAGGAAAACTAAGACAACACCCCCCACCACCACCACCACCACCAAAAGGGATGGCCACACTGCAATTCTCCGTTCTCTTCATTCTCTTCTCAGGATTCTGGACTTGAGCGTGTTTTTACACTAAAACCATGCAGTTGGGATCCAGTTGCCCTAAACACCACCTAATTACCACCCACTGGCTGGCCCCATGTGATAATTCCCAACATCATAGCTAACTAAAACCAGGCTGTATATAAGTACAAAGTTGCATGTTCCAAATGAATCCTGCAGTGGGAAGTCAGGAAGAGATTGCCAAGAGTCAGACTAGTAAACCAAGATTGTGTGTGTGTGTGTTTGGGGGTGGGGATTTGGGGGTGGGGGTGGGGGCTTGAGATGGACCTTCGAGAACAGGGAGAATCCAGTGGGTGGATAAGAGGTTCGAGTTCACGGGGAGGGGAGCATTTCAGCATGAACCAAGGAATTGCTTCCTGCTTGTTTTAACTTTCTGCTTTACACGAAGAGATGCAGCCTGCAGCTGGCAATACAGCAGTGCTCATAAAGGAAGCGCTGGCTGCAAGAAACCGAGATGCCCTAATGAAAAGCACAGCAAAATCCAAAAAAAACCCCCATGCAGGATGTTTTTCTCTTGTCTCCTTTTGCTTGCTGCTCGTGAGATGCTACTTGTGGAAGTCAGCCAACTGAGAAGGGGCGGGGATGGTTACAGAAAGTGGGGAGGCTGAGGAGGCCTTCAACACAATGGCCTCCAGCTACAGGAGGTAGGCTACCATGCAAACAGGGCTTTTCCAACTTAAGCAGAACCCTGTTACTTGAAAGTTGAAAAGCAAAGATGATATCAATTTTATGAACTTCCTATGAGAGTATACCCCACTGTACAGAAGACAGAAGTGGTAAACTTGGACCTGCAGGAAAACTAGCCCTGTACTATTGCCGTGTACCGTACTGCACTGCGCAGGCATCAGATTTCGCTGTATTTAGAAGCATACATCACCAGGTACAGCACGGACTCAAAACTGTAAACAAAAGTCCAGAGAGAGCACAGCCAGACACGTTCATATACTACAGTAATCCTTTGTTTCTCCACGGAAAGATCATGAAAACTGAGCTGTATTAACAGATATTGAGGGCTGGGGGCAGGGGGGCTGGGGGCCGTATGCTGGACAATACGGGAGCAGGAGCTGTCAGCCTTGCGGGAATCTTCCCAGCTGCGCTGAAGGAAGCACTCTCTGATGATGGAGACACCACCATGGACGGACTTGAAGAATGCAGTGACTCCATGTCCCAAACACTGTCTTTCACAGAGGGTGGTTTAATATGGGTCGTCCACGCTGAAAGAAAAACAACGCATTAGAAATCAAATTAGGAGCTTAACAGGGGCAGAAACCAAAGTGTTAGTAGTGAAGGTAAGCATCCAGTGAAGCGAGAAGAGGGGCAGGGTAATGCAGCTAGGTATCTTGGATAAGGAGCAGGGCACATGGAGGTGCATGAGAAGACATCCCTAGAGCAGAGCTTCCCCACCTTCATGTGCCTGCCACCCAGGGATGCCATGAGATGAGCACTGGCCTAGGTCCACCCAGGGGTGCCATGAGACGAGCCCTGGCCTTAGGTCCACCCAGGGATGCCGCGGGACGAGCTCTGGCCTTAGGTCCACCCAGGGGTGCCACGAGATGAGCCCTGGCCTTAGGTCCAGCAAGGGGTGCTGCAGGATGAACCCTGGCCTTAGGTCCAGCCAGGGATGCTGCGAGACGAGCCCTGGCCTAGGTCTGGTCAGCCTGAGATGCTGCATCTCTAACAGGCTTCCGAGGGATGCTCAAGCTGCCAGTCCATGGATCATACCTGGAGATGTCTCTCTCTTTGACTCCAGACCTGATGGATCTGAGTTACACTTGGACAGCTTTTGAAGAGTGGGAAGTCAGGAAAGTGGAGAAAGACATGCTCGAATGGAAAGTGCAGTTGGAGAAAGCCAGAATTCACGGACGGAATCGTGGTAGTTCTAAGGGCTTTATCATGGTGGGGTACAAAGTAAGATGATGAAAATCTTAGCTTCGTGAAATAGCTGACGCTTTTTGGTTTTTGGGTTTTTTTGGGTTTTTTGTTTTTTGGTTTTTTTTTTTTGAGTGACACAGTGGTCTCATTCTTGGAAAGGACAGGAGGGACCAAATGTGACATGTAAATAGCACCTTTCAAAGGGAGTGAGCCCAATTCCGAGGCCGGGTCTCACAATGAACAGCCAGGGTGAAACCACAGTTCAACACCTGCAAACATGCTTGCCAATACTGAGATAAAAATGCTTCTGAAAACAAAAGTTCACATGTACCCTCCTCTGAGGTTGGCATAGTTTCTTCCTGTGTATCTTGGGTGTAGCTTTTACTCGGGCAGGATTTAGACACTAGAAACCAAATGTGGTGATAAATAGAACCAGTTTGCAGAAGAGTCAAAATAACCCAGCTAGGATTGAAACCACAGATGCCCACAGTCATTCATTCACGCCCAAAAGCTAACAGGAGTGAGCACAAAGGGCCGTGAGAGTTAAACCAAGGGCTTAACACAGACTGGCACGCAGCACACGTGACTGTGCTCCTCTTGTTCTAAAACCCTCTTCTGAACCCACCCTCCCTAAGTGCCATCACACAGCGGTTTCAGTGTGAAAAAAATATATATCACGTTACTGGAAGAGGTGGGTGTCCGGGACCCACAACTCTAGTTTGGGAGTTGAGTCCTGCGTTCTAGAGGCACGAGCGTTAAGAGAATGATCCTGGACCCAGCGAGCAGAGACCTCAGCTCCGCAGCTGGTTCAGTGGGCTTGGGCTCGCTATTGTACTGCCTCTGTTTCTTTACCTGTAAGGAAATATTAATAGTACTTCCTCCTCTTCTCACAGGCTTGTAGGCAATATTTAATGATTCAGGGCAGTCGAATGCTCAGAGCAGTATGGACCATGGAATTAGTATTTGACATTCATTAGTATTGTGCTGACATGCCATTGTGGTTAAGGTGCTGGACTCCTATGTGGCTGACCATGGTTCAAGTCCTGGACCTGGTGGCTTGAAATCACCTTAGGTGTATGTGTGTGCATGCTCGAAATTCCAGCAGGAACATGAAGGAGAAAGGATTGCAACATGGCTATCCTCGCTGGGTAAGGGGGTGACCTCTCACTTTTCTCCCACTGCCTCTCTCTCTCTGGCAAGGGCATGTACCCTATGACCAAAAAAACTTAAAAAAAGAAAAAACGATTTATTGGTATTGTAACTAACTCTGGCACTGGCTCAAGACCTGTGGAACAGTTTACTTAATTCACTTAGCTATGAAGAGGGTTTGAACTCGATGTCTACCATGACCCTTTCCAGACCAAAAATTCTATGATTCAATGAATTAAGGTCACCTTGATCAATTGATGAAAGGCAGCTGGTAGGTCCTTCCGGGTCCCAGGTGCTGTGGGACCAACGATTTATTGGTATTGTAACTAACTCTGGCACTGGCTCAAGACCTGTGGAACAGTTTACTTAATTCAGTTAGCTATGAAGAGGTGGGACCAGGCTTCCCTCCCAGCCGGTGAGGACTGCTCAGGGACCCCTGCTGCAGGCGGTCCTCACCGGCCCCTGAGCACGCTGCCACCCCGTTACGTCACTTCCCTCCTTCGACAGCCTTCCTCCTCCCTTCTCTCCAGACACCTAAACAGCGACTCACAGTGACTTTCTTCACGCGCACCTCTGTGCTCGCCGAGCAATCGACCTCATTTTCTCCAGCTGAGAATCCATCGGCCGCTACCATATTCCGCCTTCTACTTTTCTGCCGTTTCTCTATTTCTGTGTTAACTCCCCCAGGAAGTAATGATCTCCCTGAGAGCAGGGACAGGGCTTACCCTCTTTGTCCCTGTCACGCTCCGTGTTGTTCCAGCACTGTGTTCAGGAACTACGGACAGAGCCTGTGAGAACCCATGAACTATGAAACTTACTATGAATTCGCATTCTATGGTAATTAGCTTAACACTAATATTCCCTTAGTCATCTCCCTGTGCCCCAAGGACATCTGAAAAAGGAAAAACAAAAGAAAAAACACAAACTGAATTGATCTGCTGCCATCTAATAGTAATTAAAGCAGGTGGTTCCTGTGGCCAGAAAATAGCTCTGGGTAGATTGTGCCAGAAAAGACTTTCACTCGGTTGGTCTGAACATGAAAGACATCTTTACATCTTGTGGGTTTCCTGCCACAGAGATAGGGAAGCCAGCTCAGGAGGGACCCCTTCCTCACTAGGACCCACCCACACTATTCAAGAGAAGACAAGGTGACAGAAGAGAATAAGGGTCCACTGTCCCTGCGAAACCCTCAGGTTACCCCCACCTCTCTCTTCTTCAAGGCCAAATTTTTAAGAGATGACTACAAGTCTGCCCCTGCTTTCTCATCTCAGTGATCCCTCGGGTCTGGGCCATCGACCTGTCTTGATCTCATTGCTGAGAGCTGTTTCTTCACCCATCTATTCTGTCACATCCAGTGAAGAGGCTCCTCCCCCAGCAGTGATGAAATATCTGCACTTTGCTCTTTGCTTAGCGTTCACAGCTGCAGGCTCTTCCTCACCTTCCCCTGCCTCTGGCAACCTGTCCTGCTGCATCTGCTCCTCGCTGACTGGGTAGGCAGTGCTGTCCCTCTAGGTCCGCTCTCTCCCCCAGGTCCTCTTCTGTTCTCACAACGATACCTCCTGAACCATGGGAGTCCCCCAACTCACTTCTGCCCCAAGGCAGATCCCCATGCTGCAAGTCGGCCCTGGGACTGAGAACGAGCTGCACACACTGAAGTGTGACACACAGAGGACTGAGTGCAAGACCTTGGCCTCTGATGTCCTTCTCTTCGGTCCTTCTCCGTAGCAAATGGACCACTGTCCACAGGTCCCAGGGCAGAAACAAACATGGCACTTCTTGGATCCTTCTCTCTCCTTAGCCTCTCACCGGCCACAGTCAGTGAACCTGCCTCCTCTAACCTCTCTCCCCATCCTCACTGCTATTTCTCTGGACAGGCACCATCAGCTCTCACCTCCTAATCTTAAATGCCTCCAGAACAGGTCTCTGGGCCACAAGCTCACCCACCTTCCATATTTGACACACGGTTGTGTAAGGCTATCTCTGTAAAGTGCAGAGCACAAGGCGACACACTTGCCCCAACCCTCTTGGAGACGCTCCACAGACCACAGGGTGAGCCAGCCACTGTCACATGGCCCAGAAACTGCTGCGGTGCCCTGCCTGTCCCCAGCCCCTGTTGTGCTATAAGCTCAGAGCTGAGATGTTCTTGGGGCACAGGAAGAGATACCAGCCACTGACCCTGAGAGCCACTCGTAGGATGCCGGGGTTGCAGGGCGCTGTCTGACCAGCACCGGCCTCTTCAGGAGCCATTGCATTTCCTTTCCAGTGTCCAGCTGGGGTCTTAACGACACCAGGTCTTATCCCCATGGGTCTTTCTACTTGCACTCTCCTTCCTAAAATGTCCAAGCAAGTCCCTAAACTCCTGAAACAGAAATACTCCGCCGTCTTCCTCTCTGGCAGATGGCCAACCACTTTCTTTCATGTGTCTGCATCTCTTCCCAGTATGCTGTTCCTCAAATTAAAGAAATCTGAGCTTCAAGGTCAAACGAAAAAAATATATAAAATAAAATGATAAAATACAGCTTCTTTGGGGAGGCTGTAGGCCGCTTGGGCTTTCCCATGCTTCTGAAGGCCAGGGCGTGCTGGTCATTTACCCTTTCACTGCAGGCTCCGGGGTATGGACATCAGCCTCTTCTTGGAGTCTGGGATGTGCTAGCTTCCCGATAAATGCTCACTGTGTTTAGATTTTCGTGAGCAGCCAGGACAGCAGAGACAGCACAACGCTTCAAACCCTCAAAGAAAGTTCCAGGCCCGTCAGGAAGAGGTCCCTGTAATTAACGGCCCTTTCCCGTGAGAGCGCTGTCTGTCATTTTTTCCTTCGTTCAGCTCCACTAACTCCAAAAACCACTTTTAGGAGAAGCTAGATGCATCACCTTCTCTGGAAACTGCATGTGCATGCGAGCCCCACCCACACTGCTGTGGAATCAAGGTCTGGCTATTCCAGGAAGGAGATTAAGGATGGCAGAAAAGGGGTCCACAGACGGGGGGAGCTCCTTGGCAAGAAAAACTTACCTTTTCTGAGATTTCTTTCCTAAAAATATAAAAGAGAGAGAAACGGCATCAGCAAAAAGTAGACAATTTCAGTTTTTTAATATATTAAAGAAAGGAGATTCCTACCCTTGAAACTGGTTTTTGCAGAGTATTATACATGGAATAGACAGGGAGCTTCTGTGTGTAAAGGGATTTGAGGTCCTGGCTTAACGTTTGCCTCATACAATGACAGGTCCCCAAACAGGACAGCCATGCAGTGCAGCTGCTGCTCGGGTCTCCCCACCTTCTGTGCTGCCCATTAGGACAGAGGCCTGGGTCGAACTCCCTGGTGGCTAGACCCTGCATGCTGTCCACCTCCCATCCTACCGTCATGTTCTCCCTTGGATTCCTCCCTCGGAGACTTAGCTGTAAATTCTGTAAGAAGGGGGTCTCAGGGCAGCTGATGACATAGTGGTTAAGGTGTGGGACTACCATATGGTTGACCATGGTTCGAGTCTCGGACCCAGCAGCTTAAAACTCATACCAGGTGCATGTGCATGTGTGCCCAAGGTCCCGAGAGAATGGAGGAGAAGAGAGTTTGGCCTGGCTGTCTCTCGGTCTCTCTCTCTCTGTCTCTCTGGCAAGCACTCACACCCTTTAGCAAAAATTTGTCATAAAAAAAGAAGGGGTCTTGGGACCAGCAGTTGGCATAATGGCTATGTCACTGGACTCCCATGTAATTGACTGTGATTCGAGTCCTGGAGCCAGTGGCTTAAACTCATGCTGGTTGCAGGTACATGCGTGCCTAAAATCCCGAGAGGAGAATGGAGAAGAAGTGATTGTGGCATGACCCCCTTGGGGGGGGGGGGGATTTCTCACTTTGTGTCTCTCTATTTCTCTCACAAGAACATGCACCCTATAGCAAAAAAAAACTCTCAAGAAGAAAAAAAAGAAAGAAAGAAAGAGAAAAAGGGGGGAGTCTCATACAGCTCACTACATCTGCTTACGGGAATCCACAGAGAGCCTCAGGGCCTCACCTCACTGAGAGTCTTGCAAACCACAGTGAGTACCGGGCTGGTGACATTTCCTTCTTTGGCCACAAGGAGACTCAGGGCCAGAGCAGAGACCCTCCCCCATCAGTGCAGAGGAGCTGGCAACTACATTTCTGTGTCCTAACTTCACCCTCGGTTCCGATTCATTTTTGTACCCTAAATTTTACCTTTGTTTTTCTCACTTTTCAACTAATCTTAATTTGCCATGTTGACTGGATCATAGTCAAACTTACATTGTTTGGGGGAAAGCAGAATATAAATAAGTGAATAAGTGAATGAGTTGCAGAGTCAGGGCCAGGGTAGGGGAGACTGCGGGAAGGAAGTGTCACACTTCTCGGGGACGCCATTTCAGGGGCTGGAAGCTAGAGCCCCAGGACCACCCGGGCCAGGTGCATTCCCACCTGCAGTGTCCTAGAACAGCTCCTGGTCCTCACTAAGCCACGAGTTCCCAATATGTAAAAGCGGTATAATGACTATAACCTCTCTGGTTCACACACACACACACACACACACACACACACACACACACACGAATTCAAAATATTTAGGCCAGGGCCTAGCATTCAGTGCACAATTGCTATTTAACCCTTTCAAATTACTGCTACAAATTACTGTTTTAGGTTTTTCTTCCAAAATTGGGCCTGCTGATGACACAGACCAAATGCACCTAGGTGGGAAGAATCAAGTCTGAATTAATTTCTGCTTTCATCCATTCATTTTCATGTAATTGTAACTTTTCTTTTAGGAGCAATGAATCAACAGTAACGAGGGGCAAGAATGTGCTCCTACTGGGAGGAGTCCTTTTTGAAGAAAAGGGAACTGAGGGCCGCGTTTGGTTTTACGCCCTCCTCTCACCCTGTGTGCTGGGTCAGGTGGAAAATTCTTCCAACCGAGGACGAAAACAGAATCTCATGAATCTGAAGACAAGTGCTTTAGGGGGCGTTCTGGATGAGAGTCAGATCTGACTCTGGCCCCTGTGGAGCTGGGGCCGTAGGCGTCTGGCCTCTGACATCATGACCTGGGTGTCATTTACCACACAGGGCCAGTGGAGCGACTAACGAGAGAACGACAGAGCAGGACAAGCCCATGCCCCGGGAGCATGCTCCAGAGCCCTCCCTGCCCCTTCCCTAGAGGCAGCAGAAGTCTGCGCACCAAGACTAACAAGGCAGGGGCCCGAGGGCCAGGTCCAGCAGGTCCCTCTGAGGGCCGATGCGGGTCGAGGTCCAGGGCACTCCCTTAGCTACCATGCTCTACGTAGTCGCTGGTCCCCATTCTCAAGCTTTCTGAACCCCAAAAGCTTACAAAACCCAAATAGACAAATTCTGTGTCTATACGGATTTATTATTTTTACCTTTATCTCTGTAAGTGTGCGAGCCTGGTTTAGTGAGAGAACTAGCCAGTGTTTCTAATGTCGCCTCTATAGAAAGGGTTTGTGTTCTAAAGACCCGGCCCACAGCTGAAATGCTTAAAGCGATTCGTAGGTTGGAGAGGACAGAACAAAGGCTATTCTAAGGTGCATGCAGATGCCCAGCGCCTGCGGAGTCGTGATGTTTCGGGGTTTGCTCTCTCGGTTGGTACAATCGTAACGAGCCTTCTGCCCGTTATCTGTTTCCTGTTTGCCCACACCGATTCCCACAGCAGGGGCACACAGTTTTCAAGTTATCAGTTTGAGATCTTGTACAGAAATGACTCCAGGTAAAAAGATGTGAAAACCACCTTACTCATTTTCTCAGCCCTCCTTGTAGAGCAGCCTTAGCCAGCTGGTGGGCTGGGTAGTGAGGGGTTCCTCGCTGAGTACACACGACTTTGGCTTTATTCTTTTGATTCTACAAACAACTAAGGATTTCAGAATTTGGGAATAAATTTCCTCCCTATTAAGGCAACTCTCAACCATAAAGTACCACAAAGGTGATACTGAAACAACCACCACCTGGTCCAGGGGCAGGTGCGGTCAGCCACGCCATTCCCCGCCCTCAGCCCTGCCATCGCCACCGGAGCGGGGAGGGCAATGCCATTGTTCTGCGCCTTGACACAGCGGCTGAGTACTGAGCATAGAGCTGTAAAACAGCGGGACCCGTCTCCAGAATTTCTAACGGGGAAGCAGAAATGTATAACTGCTCGGTGTTCTCAGGTTAGACTTGATGACGTTCCTGCACATCAAGAGTGCCCTCCTCCACCATCTTTGTGGACTGGTTAGAAAGCTAAACTAGCACCCCGAACGTTAAATTTGGATGAAAGATCAGATCATAGTGGAAGAGCCTTAGGGACTAATAGTACTTTGCCATTGCCAGCATAGTTGGGCAGGGCGAACTTCGCACAGGACCCTCCATGAACAAAACACACATTAACTCATTTCATAGAGATGGAGTTAAAATGGCAACCAACTGGTGCCAAAGAAAGGCAGCACAGGGTTGCTGGTTAGCAACTGTATTGAGGTGGGGTATTTTATTTATTTTATTTTATTTTTATTTTTATTAGAATTTTTGCCACAGGGTACGTGTGCTTACCAAAGAGAGAGACAGAGATAGAGAGAAATCGACCTCCCCAGGGGGGGTGGCCATACCACGGTCCCTTCTCCTCTATTCTCCTATCAGGATTTTGGGCACACACACACATGCACCTGGTGTGTTTTTTAGGCAGCCAGGTCCAGGACTCCATTTGCAGAGTAGGCCGTGGGATCCAGTGTCTTAACCACTGCACTACTTGCTGGCCCAGAGGGGTTTTTGTTTTGGTTTGGTTTGGTTTGGTTTTGTTTTAGAGGTTTTTGCTATAGGGTACATGTGCTCGCCAAAGAGACAGAGAGACAGAAAGTGAGAAATCACCCCCCAAGGGAAATGGCCATGACGCAGTCCCTTCTCCTCCATTCTCCTCTTGGGATCTCGGGCACGCACGCACACGCACGGCGTGAGTTAAAGCCACCGGGTCTGGGACTCAAACCACAGTTGACCACTTGGGAGTCCAGTGACATAACCATTACTCCAACTGCTGGTCCCCCAGAAGGGTCTTCTGAAAGCTGCCCAATGCTTGTGACTTTCGGTCTTGAATGGTTCTGCCAGTGAGCTGCCAAACGCGGCAACGACACCCAGGGCCCACTGCGGACTGCAGGCTGGTCCCACTTTAAAGCCTGACATGCTCAGGGGAGGGAGGCTAAGAGGAGGGATGCTGTTGTTCTCTGGAAGTGTTCCTTCCACCTTTCCAGCAGCAAGTATTAACTTTTCACACTGTTCTTCCCTTTTCTTTTCCACCCCAGGGTGGAGGGAAGGTGCACAAATGCATGTGGTTAGAGCTGAGGCCTTGGTGAACAGATGCCCCGGAGAACACTGGGAGTTTCTCCCACGGACATGCAGCTAAGTGTGTGACACCTGAACAGGCCAGGTGTTTGCGAGCAGACTCAGAACCTTACTGGACAGTAGGTCATCTCTCGGTGCAATCGCATCACTCAGTCAAAAACGTGTGGACTCTTAGAGGACAAAGATTATGTGTCCTTTTTTTTCAGAATTAAATATGAGTGCAGAGCATTAGAATATCTCATGTAGTTGTTATCGTTCTAGCAAGGTGCTGTGACATCACAGACTTTCTGAAAAGCATGTCAGGGGAGAAGCAGAAGCAGCCGGCTTGTTTTAAGGACAGTGTGGGCTGGGCTGAGTGCACAATCTCCAGGGACCGATGTCTGCAGACCACAGGCTTCGCCTCCTGCCACAGGGATTCTAGTGCACTTAATTTCCTGTGGGTTTATTTCTTCTCTTTTTTGCTATTTCATATGACGCTAAACCCACTTACTTTTTCTCAGTCGCCTTGCCAGCCAGATGATGAACGCCAGCCCAGAGAACGCAGTAACCATAACTGCCACGGGGATGAAGAGGGGGTTATAGTTACCCTCCTTGATCATCGAGAAGCTTCTGTCGGACTCTGCAAGAGAAATCAGCGAGGGACAGCATGAAGCCGCAGCACTGCCTCCACCCACCTCCTAGCGTTTGACTTTTGTCCTCCATCTTCAGTAACAGCCCATTTGGTGCCATTCAACAGTGGAAAAACTGTCCGGGGGAGGCCATAGTGAGTCCACCGCAGAGGCAAAGGCTGGACCAGCACTCTGGCCCCAGGACCAGGGATCCCGATCCCCAGATTTGTGATCCATGCTTGGGAACATGTCTAAAAATCTTAGTGCACAGCCATGGCTGTATTTACCCCATGGTCTATTCAACGGTCAGAACTCTGAAACACTAGGAAGAGCTAAAAAGCCAATTACAACTTCAGGAAAATTAAAAACCGGTGATCTGAACTAAGTAATTATCAGCCCAAGCACTTTTAACGCCTTTACTTTAACACAGCTGTGCAAAAGCACGCACGTGCCAGAGATCTGCACGGATCGCTCTTTCGAATGATGTCCTGCCACTGCTCCCCACCTTCTTCACAAGCAGAGGGACGTACCCACATACCCTCCCGTAAGCCCAAACTATGTTCACTTGGGCGTCTTTATTGAAAAACACTGTTATGAAAAATTTCTGATATCACCCGCCAGAAGGACACACAGGGTCTGTCAGTGCCTCTCATTCTTCACATCACTTTCATGACCCTTTTCAAGGTGTTTCCACTCCCACCCAAACATATAAGGAGGGGAGGTTCAAGGTTCCACCAGCTCCAAACAGAAAGCACCTACAGACTCAATAAAGACGAGGAGGGACCAGCAGATGGCATAATGGTTATGTTGCTGGACTCCCACATAGTCGACTGCAGTTTAAGTCCCAGACCCTGAGACTTAAAACTCATACCAGGCATGTGCATGCATGCCCAAGATCCTGAGAGGAAAATGAAGGAGAAAGGATTACGGCATGGCCATCCCCACTTGGGGGATGATTTCTCACTTTCTGTCTCTCCGTCTCTCTCTGTTTCTCCTGGGAACACATGTGCTCTATAGCAAAAATCTCTCAAAAGAAAATAAATAAATATCCCTGAGAAGCCTGGTGTGCAATTCTCTGAAGCCCTCTCACCTCCTGCATCCTTTCTGCTTTCCGACTCCACTCCCTGGTGCACAATCTCCAGGGACCGATGTCTGCAGACCACAGGCTTCGCCTCCTGCCACAGGGATTCTAGTGCACTTAATTTCCTGTGGGTTTATTTCTTCTCTTTTTTGCTATTTCATATGACGCTAAACCCACTTACTTTTTCTCAGTCGCCTTGCCAGCCAGATGATGAACGCCAGCCCAGAGAACGCAGTAACCATAACTGCCACTGGGATGAAGAGGGGGTTATAGTTACCCTCCTTGATCATCGAGAAGCTTCTGTCGGACTCTGCAAGAGAAATCAGCGAGGGACAGCATGAAGCCGCAGCACTGCCTCCACCCACCTCCTAGCGTTTGACTTTTGTCCTCCATCTTCAGTAACAGCCCATTTGGTGCCATTCAACAGTGGAAAAACTGTCCGGGGGAGGCCATAGTGAGTCCACCGCAGAGGCAAAGGCTGGACCAGCACTCTGGCCCCAGGACCAGGGATCCCGATCCCCAGATTTGTGATCCATGCTTGGGAACATGTCTAAAAATCTTAGTGCACAGCCATGGCTGTATTTACCCCATGGTCTATTCAACGGTCAGAACTCTGAAACACTAGGAAGAGCTAAAAAGCCAATTACAACTTCAGGAAAATTAAAAACCGGTGATCTGAACTAAGTAATTATCAGCCCAAGCACTTTTAACGCCTTTACTTTAACACAGCTGTGCAAAAGCACGCACGTGCCAGAGATCTGCACGGATCGCTCTTTCGAATGATGTCCTGCCACTGCTCCCCACCTTCTTCACAAGCAGAGGGACGTACCCACATACCCTCCCGTAAGCCCAAACTATGTTCACTTGGGCGTCTTTATTGAAAAACACTGTTATGAAAAATTTCTGATATCACCCGCCAGAAGGACACACAGGGTCTGTCAGTGCCTCTCATTCTTCACATCACTTTCATGACCCTTTTCAAGGTGTTTCCACTCCCACCCAAACATATAAGGAGGGGAGGTTCAAGGTTCCACCAGCTCCAAACAGAAAGCACCTACAGACTCAATAAAGACGAGGAGGGACCAGCAGATGGCATAATGGTTATGTTGCTGGACTCCCACATAGTCGACTGCAGTTTAAGTCCCAGACCCTGAGACTTAAAACTCATACCAGGCATGTGCATGCATGCCCAAGATCCTGAGAGGAAAATGAAGGAGAAAGGATTACGGCATGGCCATCCCCACTTGGGGGATGATTTCTCACTTTCTGTCTCTCCGTCTCTCTCTGTTTCTCCTGGGAACACATGTGCTCTATAGCAAAAATCTCTCAAAAGAAAATAAATAAATATCCCTGAGAAGCCTGGTGTGCAATTCTCTGAAGCCCTCTCACCTCCTGCATCCTTTCTGCTTTCCGACTCCACTCCCTGGCCCCGGGCACACAGAGATCAGCTTCTCTGGAAGCATCTAACGATCCACCTTAAGATGCTCATCACCCATGCAGATGGTCTCAGGGGAAGCATGGGTAGCTATGTTCCCCTGTGACAGTTCTGCCCCCTGCCAGGCACTGTGTGAGGCAGAGGGTGTGAAAACATGGCCCTCATGCACAGGCAGACTCAGGAAGCATCGGGTTAGCAATAATTGAGAACTACCACTACTTTAGGAATTAAGTGATGAATGGTGAACAAAGAGGTCGAATTATAGTGAAATAAAAGAATAAGTAAAAAATAAATCAGTAGAGACAGTGGGCTTCACTTTAAGAGTTAAGATGAGGGGCTGGCAGGTGGCATGGAGGTCAAGGTGCTGGACTCCCATATGGCTAACCACAGTCCGAGTCTCAGATCTGGAAGTTTGCTTTCTCACTCTCCCTTTCTCTCTCTCTCTCTCTGGTAAAATCAAAATATAATAAGAAATAAAATAAATAATTTTTTTTAAAAAAGGAGTTAACATGAGTTGAGAAAAAAAAAAAACAACAGCTGTCACTAAATGATAGCCAAGGATCTTATGGGACCTTAATAAATACCTTATTTTTAGGCCACATGTAAGCAGCAAAACAAAATGTAAGAATTTAGCAGACCTGTTCCCAGCGAGTGCTTTGTCATCTGCTCCATCCTTAAGTCATCAGCATGTCAGGGCAGATTTACTCACTTTGACATATTGGACTAGATCTGGACCAGGCTCCAGATGACCCGCAAGTGGTCCTCCTCTCCCCAACTAACTCAGTTCCTTCTGAGCAGTCAAAGCTGCAAGTGGAGGAAAAGCCGAAGTGGGCTCGGGGGTGACTGCAGTCCATGGTCCCCAGGTCGGGCGCTGTGAGGGGTGCACAATGGATCACTGCAATGAGAAAGAGCAGATTGGCTGGCATTCCTTGACCCTCAACCGAAGGAGTTTGGCCAACGCTGCCGAGCTCAACTGCGGAACCATCCACCTGAGTCTAGACGATCCTCATTTCTAGATGCTACTTCTAGTCACGCGTCCAGGCTACTTCCCTTGGGATGACGGTGGGTGGTGAGTCAGGGATGGTCCAGGCTGGCCCCTGACTTGGCAGACCCAGCTCTGTGGCAAGCATAGCCAGGCTGCCTTGGCTTCGAGCTCTCATAGGATATGCTCCGTGACACGGAGACTGCACACGTGTCCACCTGTTCTCACGTCCACCCAAGCAGTTTTTAAAGACAAGGCAAATCTCAGAAAAAAGACCAACTTCTGTGTTATATTCCAATAAATGATTTGATAACTCTTCTGAGATTGAAACTACCAGAAAAAAGTATCAGTGTGGAAAATGTACCAAATATTTCACAAGTTCAAACCCCACCAGTTTCTCCCATAGGAGATTATTTTGGCAGTTAAAAAGGAAAAGGCTACCGTATTTCAAATTTAAAAAAAGAGAGAGAGAGAGATTGTGTTTTTGTTTTTCACAGCTGTTGTTACTCTCCCAAGAGTTGATATGGGATGAAAAGTAAAAGATGATCTCAAAAATAAACCAAGGAAAAGAACCAGAAAGGCCTCTGCTTCCCTGAGAAGGAAATCATCGGTGGAGTAGGACACATACAATAGGTGTTAGAGGACAGGAACCAGACTTCAGCTAAGGTTCAAAAAGATGGACTATTAGTGCCTTGGCGATGAGAAAAATAAAAACCACACTATAACCACACTGTTACCCACTGGGAGATGGCTTCGGGATATTTGGGTTTGTGTTGGGTTTGGGGGTTTTTCTTTTTCATTGTTATAAGAATAAACCCTTTGTAAAACATCCCAGAATAACCTTAGTTAGATTAAAGTATCCTCTGGGCTTTTTATCGAGGCTGCTGCACAGCTGCGAACGTCCACCACGACCACCAGGGCACTGCCTCTCATCCGGAGCCGCTCACCTTGACAGCTTGGTTCTGGGGAAGACCAGTTTCCAAAAGACGCGCAAGTGGTTTCTCCAATCCCAGTCAAGTGTGTTCCCTCGGAGCAGTTGAAGACACACTGCGAGTTGAAGCTGAAGTTCCCCAGTGGGTGAGTGCAGGTCATGGCGCCCCACGCGGGAGCCTCCAGAGGTGCACACTGAACCACTTCAAAAAGGAAAGAAACAGCGATGGGAAGTTAAGAGGCCCCGGGGCCTGGAGTTGAACCTAGCTCTGCTATTTGACCACTGTGCCTTCCCCAAGATTTCTGGAGCCCGCCAGCTTCTGTGCCTTCGTCTGTGAAGGAGGGGGAAAGGTGACTGTCTAACTTCAGGTCGGAGCAGGCACTTGGTGCAACTCAGTGGGTGTGAGTCAGGGGCTCTGAGCCTGGCTCACCAGTCCTAATTCAACGTCAGTGGCTCTTCACATTATGGTCTTTGGCATCATCTGGAGAATTAACTGTTAAACCCGACATAAGTGGGACGGACCTGCTCTTTTAGAAACAAATGCCACATCAGAGCCCGTGAATGTTGGGAGTGAGAGGTTCAGTAAAGAATGAGCACCCACGGGGACTAGCAGTTAGTGTAATGGCTATGTTGCTGGACTCCCATGTAGTCGACCACGGTTCGCATCCCAGACCTGGTGGCTTAAAACCCACGCCAGGTGCATGTGCGTGTATGCCCAAGATCTCGAGAGGAGAATGGAGGAGAATGGAGGAGAAGGGATTGTGGCGTGGCCATCCCCCTGGGGGGTGATTTCTCGCTTTCTGTCTCTCTGTCTCTCTCTGTCTGTCTGGTGAGCGCATGCGCCCTATAGCAAAAACCTCTCAAAAAAAAAGAACGAGCACCCACGGTCAGTCCTCACAGGTGAGATGAAAGCTTAGGAAGCATCTTGGCCTCAGCTCTGTCTTTATTCTCTCTAGAGAAATTCTAGAACTTTGCCTTATTTGATTTTGACAACTTTTTCAGAGACTGTATCTGTGCTCCTCCTCTGATTGGTGGTCCAGGAGATGAAATTAAGACTTGGAAATCAAAGTCTTCACATGGTAGTTGCTGCCACGCCACTTGGGCAAATATCGCAACTCTCTAGTCTTCACCCTTGTCTATCACATTTGAGTCATCGTTACGACCTTGCTGCTGAGATTTCAATCAAGAATAGACTCAAGGAACTAGAAGAATTTTCATATTTTCCATATACAGTACACATCCAAACTAAAATAAACTGTCCAACTCAATTTGGGCCCATGGCAAGTGCCTGCCACATGCCAGGCACAGTCTGAATCTCGCAGATGCAATGATGAACAGGAGGCTTGCGGATCCCAAGAAGCTTTTAGTAGCAGAGTGCATAGACAAGTAGCAGGGGACTTTCACAAATATAGGGATGAGAAAGAAATGCAAGGTCTATCAGAACCTGGAAAAGGAACACTTCCCCTGCCTTAGGGTCCAAAGAAAGGTTCCTAGGAAAAATAGTCCCCGAACTATAGCTTAAAGATGAGTAGGCACGTTAGCTGTGTAAAAAAATGAAAAAGCCACAAGCCAGCCACGAGACACGGGGCACGCACACTGACGTGTACAGAACTGCAAGTGTTTCGATGCTACTA